GCGCGGCAGCACGGTCACCATGGAGGCGTTGAGGGAGGATTTGAAACACGTGGTGCACCTGTATCCCCCGGGACGGGTGCTTTGGATCCTATCCGAGGAGCTGGTTGGGCCAGCGGCCAACCAGCTGGTGCAGGCGGTGTCCGCTCACCTTCCGGGCGGCGGAACGGGTGCGGGCGCGGAGCCCAACACGGGAGGCAGCGCATGCGGCGCTGGGGCCACGCCCGTCAGCGGCGCGGGGAGCTGCGTCAACGCGGGCGCCGCCGGCCCGCCGGCAGCCCAGGAGGTGACTAGAGGGGGCTCAGGGGTGCCCCTGCCCGGAGCCGCGCCGCAGCAGCCGGCGGGCAGCGCGCAGGGCGTGCGGGATGCTGCGGCCGCCGAGGCGCGGGCGGTCGGGGACGCGGCCGAGTCGGGGGCTGCGACGCGGACGGCGGCGGCGGCTGTGGGCGTCGCAGAGCGGGAGTCAGAGGTCGGCGCAACAAGCGGCGGGGACGGCTTGTCGGGGCCGGCCTTACCGCCGCCAAAGCCGCCGCCGCAGCAGCAGCAGCAGCAGCAGCAAGGCGAGCAAGGCAAGGGTCAGATGGCTGCCTCTGGCCTCCTGTCTTGGCTGCCGCCCTTCCTCCAGCCGCAGCAGCAGCAGCAGCAGCAGCAGCAGCAGCAGCAGCAGCAGCAGCAGCAAGAGGCAGCAAGCGGCTGGCTGCAGCATGCTGCGCGGGAGCAGCCGCGGGCCGCGTCGGCTGGGCCCTCCTCATGGAGACGCGAACAGCATCAGGAGCAGGAGCAGGAGCGAGAGCAGCAGCAAGAGCGGCTCTTGCAGTGGCCGAGCGGCCTGTTGCGCTCAAAAAGCACCCCCGCGCCCTCCATGGACGCGCCCGGCTACGACAGCCTCCCACCGCCTGCCAGTGATGCCGGGGGAAGTCGTGGAGGGGGCGCACACCGCAGCGGCGATAGCGCCAACGGTGGCAGCGGCGGCGGCTCCGGGTCCGACGGCGGCGGCTCGGGCGGCGGCGGCGCTCCGGAGGCGGACGCGGAAGCTGAGGCGAAGCTGCTCGCCGACCCGCCGCAGGAGCTGCAGCAGCTGCTGGAGCTGCTTGGGACGCCCTCAGACGCGGGGTCCGCGTTTGCGATAGCGCACAAGCGTGAGCTGTTGGTGCGCCACTTTGTGCAGCAGCGGCGCGGCGCGAAGCGGCGGCAGGAGCTGCGGGTGTTGGGGAGCCCGGAGCCCGGAGGGCCGCAGCCGCGGAAGCCGGGCGGCGCACGGTATCCAAGTGAGGATCCTGCGCCTGCTGAGTCAGTGGAAGGGGAGGAGGCGGCGGAGAGAAACGACGGCCGCGGCGGCGCGGTGGCGCGCGCGTCGGCGGCGCCCGCGGCGGCTGTGGAGCGGCCGCAGGTGGCACCGGCAGAGGCAGCGGCGGAGGGAGCGGCGGGCGCAGGGGCGGCGGCGGCGGCCGACGCGGCAGCGGCCAGGGCGGAGGCTGTGGACCCTGATTCGATGGGGCTGAAAGAGCTGGCGCGGCACTCACTCATTGAGCTGGCCCAGCTGCCCGAGCGCATCGCCGAGAGCCTGGCCGCGTGGCGCAGCGGCGTGGACGCCGCAGCGGCGTGCGTGCCGGCGGCGGCTGCAGCGGCGGCGGCGGCGGCGGCGCTGCCGCAGGGCGGCGGCGGGGACGGCGGCGACAGCAGGAGGTGCGTCTGTGCTCGCCCCCGAGCATGCCGGCCGCGCCGCCCTCGCTCCCTGCCTCCTCCAACCCGCTTTGCTCGTCTCTACCCTGGCGGCTCCTCAGCCCTGCCTATCCAGCGCCGGGCCCGCCACCCGGCTGTCTGCCCCCACCCACTCACCTATCTACCCCCCACCCACTCTTACGCACACACATGTCCACCCACCCACCCACCCACCCACCCAATGAAGCACAGACACACTTGCATGCCCACACACCCACGCACAAGCACGCACACAGAGACGAACGCACGAACGCACGCACACACACACACACACACACACACAAAAACACACACACATCACCTACGCGCATGCGCAGGGCCCCTGTGGTGGTGGTGCCGGACCGCGAGGCGTTCTCGCGCCTGCTGCTGCACCGTAACGCCATCCAGGACCACATCCCAGACGCATACCTGGCGGCGCTGCACCGGCTGCGGCGGCGGCAGCAGGAGCTGCGGGCGCCGGCGGCGCAGCGGGAGGCGCAGGAGCAGCAGGGGGGCCCAGCGTAGGTAGCAAAGCCCTCGGACCTGGTCAGCATGTCAACCTGATCTTGACTCTGGCTGCGTTGCGCCCCCTGCCCCAGATTTTGTCACCTGCCCCCAATTTTGTTGTCAGGGCCATGTGTGAGGTGTACCCCCATGAATCTCTAGTGCTGAGGGATGCACTGACCACTGCAGAGACGAGTTAGACCCACCACTTTCACAGTTTGCTTCGAGTCCACGCGAGAGATCACGCCTCTCAAAACGCAAAATGGCAGGCGCGCCAACCCGAAGGCCGCAAGACATACCATGGAACCCCAGAGACAGGCCCCAAGCACCGCGCATTCAGCAGTCATCTGCGGCGCGCCGGGCCCGGGCGATAAGCTTCAGCAATGCACGCGTCCAGGCAGCCAGCAGGGTACAAAAGTCCGCTCAGCCCGTGGACCAGCCCAAAGCGGGAGAAGAGCCCTGGCGCTTCTCCGCCAAACGTGTGGCACCCACGCCCATCAGTGGTGGTGATGATGGTGATGGTGGGCGTGCGCGTGGGCGTGGCCGCCATGGACGTGCCCGGGGGCGCCCTGGTGCGCGTGGTCGTGTGCGTCCGGCAGCGCTGCCATGAGCGCGATCATGGCCACGCCCAGCAGCAGGCAGCAGAACTTGACCCACCGCGCAAACACCTGGCGGCGGGGCGGGGCGTAGCCAGGCGGGAGCGGCGCGCGCGCGCGTGGGTGAGGGCGGCACGGACCGACGGCAGGTGGTGCAAAGAGGCAAGCGGGCTGCAGCATCAAAAGGGGGGTTTTGTCATCAATAATTTGATATAGATAATTAGACGGACCAACATAATGCCCGCCATGCTGAGAATGATATTCTGTAAAGCCTTGTGACGCTTTGCTGGGCTGCTTTGCAGGGTGTCTGCGTGTCAGAGGCAGCCATCAAAAGGCCGACCCGCCGCCCTGCATGCACCGATACATCACACAATCCACCACGAACTAATTGATTGATACATCTTCCAACCGAACTGGACCCTCCGCACCTGGCTTATGTCTGTGCGCCCACTGCGCATGTCACCCTCAAACTCCTCCTGCGGTGTGTGTCGGGGGGGGGGGGGCCGCGGCGGTGGGGATGTGTGTGGTTAGGTGGAGGCGCACGGATAGACGGCGGCAACCAACAGAAAAGGAAGAGTAGGGCGTGACGGCGGAGCTGGCTGGTCAGGACCGCCATGCCCATTGATTTACCCAAGAGGCCCATCATGCAAAAGGTCCACTTTTGGTTGCATCACACACACACACACACACACGCGCGCACGCGCGCGCGCGCGCCAGCACATACACGTGTGCCAGCCACCCGCACACAACAAACATCACACGTGCATGTTCACCCACCCACACATCTACCCAGCCACGCCCCCACCCCCCCCCCCCCCAACACACACACACCACCCACCTCCACAATCTCACTCATCCCGACGTACAGGAACGTGCCCGTCGCGAAGCAGCTCAGCACCAGCGTCAGCATCGGGTCCACGTCGCGCGCGAACGCGCCCAGCAGGATGGCGGACGGCGCCACCAGCACAAAGGGGCCGACGCCCACGAGTACTTGGCGGTTGGTGGCGCCCTCCTTGAGGAAGCGCGAGCTCAGGGCCTGGGCGCGTGGGCGCGCGGGCGCGGGGGCAGGGGGCGGCACGGTGGCCGGTTGTACGAGGAGATAGGGCGCACGCGTACGCCAGCGCTGGGTGACGTCGCCGGAGCGGCGGCGGAAAGGGGGGGGCGCATGGACTGGTTGCACCAAGTGGCGCTAGCGGCCGGCTCCGGCTGCGCGGGGTCGCGGGGGCCAGCGGGCGCGGCAGCGGGCGCGAGCGCGGCAGCAGTGCGGCCGCGCCGCCCCCGGCCCTGCGCGCCGTTGGTGACGCACCAGCCCGCTGATGAGCTTGTGGCTGGCGATGGCGCCAAGCAGCACGAAGAACTCGCGGCGGCCGTCCTGGGGTTGAGCCGCAGGGAAGGAGTAGCAGAGCAGACGTGATCCAGGCAGTTGTGCTTTGGTGAGGTGGCCTTGCTTGCTGGAGTGCAGCTACTGAAGCCGTGAGAACGGGCCAAGAGAGCTTGCAACCATGCTCAAGAGAGCTCGCTGCATGCAGGATGCACATGAGCGCGCGCACGCAAGCGCATGCATGCAGCATGCAGCACACCAGCACGTCCGCAAGGACACATCTATACAAATGAACATAGGTCTCACACACTGCACACATGCGTATGCATGCGTGCACACAAAACACATGCATGGGCACCCACAACACACATGCAAACACATAGCACGCACAAGCGCATGCTTGTTTCAACTCACCATGAGACCAAGCGCCATGCACTCCAAGAACGTGTGCACGGACATGGCCACCACCAGCACTATGCCCTGCCGCAGGTCCCCATGTCCAGGCGCCGGCCCCTCATGCCCGTGCCGGCACACATGCGAGTGCCCGCGCCCGCCGCCGCCGTGCGAGTGCGAGTGCGAGTGCCCGTGCGGCAGGCCGTCGTCGCCGCCGCCCGCGGGCAGCAGCGGCTTCTGCAGCTGCTCCGCGGCGATCGCCGCGGCCTGGCGCCGGGTTACCACGCCCGGCGTCCCGCCCGCCGGTGCCGACGCGGACGCGGCGCCCTCCGCGTGCGCATGGCCGTGGTGGCCCTCACCCTCCTCGCCGCGCTGCGCAGGCGCCGCGGGCGCCGGCGCCGGCGTCGCCAGCAGAAGCTCGCCGCTGTTGACGCGGCTGACGATGCCGGTGTGTGTGTGGGCGTGCGCGGCGTCGTGCACGCTGAAGAGCACTCGCTCCACAAACAGCACCAGCATGTAGCCCCCAACAATGAGGACGAGATACAATGGATACTCTACGCCGGCCAGCGCCGGCAGCCGCTGCTGGGACTCTTGGCAGTGGGGCAGCAAGTGGATTAGGCCTGCCCGGGGTTTACGGCGGGAGGGGGCGGTGTGCTGAGCGACAGTCAGCGGAGCAGGCGCCGGCACGACGCAGAAAGGCAGCGCGGCCGGAATCAATCGTCCAGGCGGCGGTGCGCAAGATATTGCGCACGACAGCCGCAGGGGGGGGGGCTTGGGCAGGGACGCAGCCGCAGCGGGACGCAAGCGCACGCGCGCACCTGCGGCCACGAAGACGCCGCCTGAGAAGCAGTTGAGGAGACTGAGCCACCACTCGTAGCCGGCCACGGACCGCAAGAGTATGGGGATGTAGATGCCGAGAAGGGCCTCCAGGCCCAGGCCGACCGCCACAACAGCGCGCAGCTGCGGCGTCACCAGGCCGCCGTCGCCGCCGCCGCCTGGGGGCGCATCGCCGAGGTGGCACGACTGGTCCAGCTGTAGTGAGCGAGGGATGGTGGACGGCGCATATGAGCAGGGGTTTCTTCAGCCGGCCCAGCAACCCAGAATCATGGTACATCGGTGATCAGGTCCATACTGGTGACTGCTGCGCGCCCGGGGCTTGCGCTCGACAGCCGCCTCATGCACTCGGCCTGCCGCCAGTGCTACGCCCCAGGGCCGGCCACCTGCGCAGCATGGAGCGCGCCGTTCGCCGCCAAGGGGCCCCTGCCTCTGAACCAGGTCACGCCTGCGAGCTCTATGCTCGAGGGTGGCACTGCTGAAGCCCGACCCCGTCCCCGCGACCCACCTGGCAGGCCATGATTGCGGTGCAGGCCCTCTGCGCGGCGCCCTCGTCCAAAACGCTGCCCCCCCTGCTGAACTGCTGGAGGATGCCAGCAACAGTCAGCTGGTGCGTCGCGGAGGGGTGGGGGCCGCCGCAGGCGTCCCTGCGACACAAAGAGGCAAGGCCCGCGGGGTCGGGTTAGTGGAAGGCAGCCCCCCGACGGCTTAGCACCGCGTCCCGTGCCGCTTGACAAGTGTGCTACGCTGGGGGTGCAGCTGGCAGAGATGCTTGACGTCACCTGCAGCTGCCGCTGCACCTGCACCTGCACCTGCAGGCCCATGGCCGCCTGGGGTCACCGAATGCAGGTGCCCAAAAGCCAGCGATCAAGCACGCACGCACCCTCGCCACGCAGCGCGGACACCCGCCGCACCTGAGCCGCGCGATCAGCTGCCGCAAGTCCTGCGCCTCCAAGGGCTCCTCCGCACCAAGCACGCCAAACAGCCGCTGCGCCGGGCTGTCGTCTAGGGGGAGCGGCTCCAGGCGCCCCCCGGCGTGGTGCGAGGCAGCGGCGGCGGCAGCGCAGGGGCGCGAGGCGACGGCGCACAGCAGCAAGTAGAGGGTGAGGGTCAACAGCAGCCTGGATGTGCAGGCCAGGCCCATGAAGGAAGCCGTCTAAGATCCAGGCCCCAGCATGGGCCGAGTAGATCAGTGTACAGTAGATCGACGTGGAAGATGTCCGGAGAGGTCAAAAGGAGTATCCTGATGCTTATCACATAACCACAGCAAACACACTTGCCTTGCGACAGATTACAGGCAAAAGGTCGCACCACACTGACCGAAAGATCTCACTATCAATTTTGCAGGCCCAACAGACGCGAGAGAAGGCATACCGCAAAGGGATACGTGCATCCTCAAATTACTAGTGTTTTTTCCGGTTGTGCTCCGATCCAAAGAAGAGTCTTGAACAGGCTGTCCCTGCTCTGGGACATCCAGGTACTCTGCTTCACAGCGATTGCGGAATAGGTGCACGTCCTATTGGCAGCTACAGGATCCTAGCGGCACGGCGGCTCAGTGCCGTTCAGCCCAGCAGAGTGTTGGCGGCAACAGCAGCGGTTGTGCGCCGCCCATAGGGCATCGACGCACCGCCCGGCCGCCCCGCGGCCCGGCGTGCGGGCCCGCTCAGAGGACATGTGGCAGTCCCTCAGCTCGCTCACAGCGCAGGCGCAGGCGCTGCGCACCCAGGCGGCGAACGTGCTGCAGGAATCCGCGCATGCGCTCGCCCTCGATGAGACGCTGGTGGGCTGTGGCGGGCTTAGTAAACCGGGTCGGGCGGCCTATCAGGGCTATGGCCTTGGCGGTCCCACGTGATTGCAGGCCCGAGGGTGCATCCCCACTCACAGGTGGCCTGCATATCACCACCTCCTAGTCAGCCGCCACGCTAATCCCTGGCCTCTCCCCGCCTTCCAACCCCACCAGGAGCATGCCAGGCGGCAGGTGACGGCCGCCACTGAGCAGATCACCCACGTCGCGGCGTCAGCCATAACCCTCGAGCCCGCGTCCCCGTCCAGCGGCCGGCGCCAAGGGGGCACCGCAGCACGCACGCCGCGGTATCCGGCCCAGCAGCAGCAGCAACAGCAGCAACAGCAGCAGCAGCAGCAGCGCCGTCAGGAGCTGCTGCATGGGCAGCATCCAGAGGAGGGCATCGACAGCGACGGGTTCCAAGAAATCGCGCTGGAGGCGCACGCGGCGACGCCCGGCTCGCCGCAGGCGGCAGGGGGCGGCGCCGCCGCCGCAGAGGCGCTGAAGAAGCGGCTGGCGGCGGTGGAGGCCATGGCGGCGGAGGCGCTGGGGGAGGCTGAAGAGTTGCGGGACGAGGCTGCGGCGCACAAGGAGGCGCGGCGGGCGGCGGAGCAGCAGGTGCGGCGGCGGGGCTGCGGAGATCGCGCGAGGCCGCTGTCGCAGCTCAAATGGGTCCCTCTGGGTTTCCCAGTGCAGCAATATCCGCTCAATCATCATCATCCACCTGAACACAAGAGGTGTTGCTTGATGCAGTCGTTGCCGCACAAAACTCCTTCTTTTTGCTGTCCTTGCAGGCCCTCGCATTGCAGGCGGAGCTCGAGGCCGCCGTCACTGCGCAGCAGCAGCAGGAGCGGCGCGCCGCCGAGCTGCAGCGGCTCCTGGAGCAAAAGCGAGCGGCCGAGGGCTCCGAGAGCCCCTCGCCGGGCGGCGACAGCGGCACGCTCGCCGCCGCGCAGCAGCAGCTGGAGGCGGTGCGGGCGGAGGCCGAGGTGGCGGCGGCGACAGCGAAGACGTGGGAGGAGCGGGCGCGGAAGCAGCTGAAGCGCTCCAAGGAGCTGCAGCAGCAGGTCGACGAGTTGCAGCAGCAGCAGCAGCAGCAGCAGCAGCAGCAGCAGCAGCAGGACGACGACATTACGTCCGCTGGTCCCTTGGGTGCGGGTGCGGATCAGCTGACCCAGCGGTTGGTAGAGTCTGAAGAGGCCTTGCAGCGTGCCATACAGGATGCGGAGCAGCTGCGGGACAAGCTGCGCGCCGCCGAGGCCGCCGCCGAGGAGCGCACGCAGGAGAGCCAGAAGGCGGCGGAGGCTAGGGCGCAGCTGGAGGCACGGGTGGCCGATCTGCAGGCCCGCTTGGACGACAGCAGCGCGGCGGCTGCCAAGGCCGACGCGCTCGCCAGGGCGGCGGCGGTGGAGCTCGAGCGGCTCCGTGGAGAGGTGGAGGAGAAGGTGGTGGCGGCGGCGGACGAGGCCAACAGGCGCGCCGAGGCAGCCGCAGCAGCGCTGGAGCAGCTGACAAGCGAGGTGGACGGGCGGCTGGAGGCGGCCGCTGAGGCGGCGCGCTTGGAGGGTCAGGAGGCGCTCTCGCGGTTGCAGGGTGAGCTCAAGCGCGTGGCGGCCGCGCTGCAGGCGGCAGAGGACGAGGCGGGCGCCGCCAGGGCCGAGGTCGAGGGCGAGCGCGCAGCGCGGAGGGAGGCCGAGGAGGCCGTTGCTGCTGAGACAGCCTCGCGCAACGAGGCTGCGGCTGCCGGCGCCGAGGCAGACGTCGCGGCGGCGCGCGCCGCAGCCGAGGAGCTGCAGCGGGTGCAGGCAGCACTGGCAGACGTACAGGCGGCCCTTGAGTCTGAGCGTGCACTGCGGCAGCAGGCGGAGGCTGCCGCAGCAGAAGCCGCTGCGGCCGCAGCAGGCGCAGACGCTGGGACTGCCGCGGCGCAGGCCGCCGCTGAGGATCTGCAACGGATGCAGGCAGCACTGGCAGACATCGAGGCGGCCCTTGAGTCCGAGCGTGCACTGCGGCAGCAGGCTGAGGCTGCCGCAGCGGAGGCCTCGGCGGCTGCGGGGAGCGCAGAGGCCGGGGAGGCGGCGGCGCGGGCCGCAGCCGAGGAGCTGCAGCGGGTGCAGGCAGCATTGGCAGACACAGAGGCGGCCCTTGAGTCCGAGCGTGCACTGCGGCAGCAGGCCGAGGCTGCTGCGGGGGCCGCCTCAGCCGCCGCAGGGAGCGCAGAAGCAGGGGAGGCGGCGGCGCAGGCTGCAGCCGAGGAGCTGCAGCGGGTGCAGGCAGCACTGGCACAGGTAGAGGCGGCGCTTGAGTCCGAGCGTGCACTGCGGCAGCAGGCCGAGGCTGCTACGGCGGAAGCCACTGCGGCCGCCGCAGGGAGCGCAGAGGCCGGGGAGACGGCGACGCTGGCTGCAGCTGAGGAGCTGCAGCGGGCGCAGGCAGCATTGGCAGAGGTAGAGGCGGCGCTTGAGTCTGAGCGTGCACTGCGGCAGCAGGCCGAGGCTGCCGCGGTGGAAGCCGCTGCAGCCGCCGAGGAGTGGGCGGCCGCCGGGGCGCAGGCGGCGGAGCAGCAGCAAGAGGAGTTGCAGCGGGTGCGTGCGACGCTAGCAGAGGCAGAGGCGGCTCTGGAGACCAAGCGCGCGACCTTACGGGATGCGGACTCGGAGCCAGCGGCGGCGGACCTGGTGCCCACCTCACCGCTTGAAGGCGAGCGGGCGGCGGGCGACGTGCAGGCGGGCGCGGGCCAGCAGCAGCAGTCTGAGGTTCAGCGCTTGCAGGCTGCGCTGCAAGAGGCGGAGGCGGCTCTCGAGGCGGAGCGGACCGCGCGGCAGCAGGCCGAGGCGGCGGTCGCCGCACGGCCACCTGCGGCCGGGCGCGACGAGGCAGAGGCGGGCGCGGGGGCAGCGGCGGCGGAGGCCGTCAAGCCAGGGCGGGAAGAGCTGTTGTCTGAGGTGGAGTGCCTGCGTGAGCGGCTGGGCGGCGAGCAGCGGCGCGCAATGGCGCTGGAGGAGCGACTGGAGGAGCGGCAGGCCGGTCTGCTGGCGTTGCAGGCGCAGCTGCTCCACCTGCAACAGGAGCGCGGCGGCTCGGCGGTGGAGCAGCAGGCGCAGCTCGATGGCGCATTTGCGGCGGCCGGGGCGGGCGCAGCTGCGTCGCCCCTGGCGGGCAGCGACTCGGATCCCGAAGCATCGGCCGCTGCCGCGGGTGCGCCTGCTGCTGCTACAAATGGTGCGAGCTTGGCGGGCGGCAAGAGCAAAGGCAAGCGCAAAGCAGACAAGCGGCGAAAGAAACAGGAGCAGGAGGCGGCGGCAGCGGAGCTGCTGCAGCAGCAGCAGGAGCAGCCGCCGCACGAGCAGCCAGAGGACGGCGATGCTGCGTCCACAGGCGCGTCCTCAGCGCCTGGGGATGCGGCTGCCGACGGCGCGGCGGCGGCGGAGCTGCAGCAGCGCCTGCAACGGTTGTCGGACGAGCACGGCCGCCTGCAAACCGACAACGCCGAGCTCCTCGAGCGCCTCGCCGCCGCCGAGGGCGTTGCCTCCGCCGCGGCTGCCGCCGCCGCTCAGCCCAGCCCCGCCGCTGCTGCCCGGCGGCGGCGCGGCTCGGGCGCGAGCAGCGTTACCGGCGCCGAGGGCGAGGACGACGCTGACCTGGCGGCCGCGCTGGCTGACCTGGCGGCCAGCCGGGAGGAGCTGCTCGCGCTCGACCGGCGGCTGGCGGAGCGCGACGCCGACGCGTCGCGGCTGGCGCAGCAGGTGCAGCAGGCGCGCGCGCTGCAGCAGCAGCTCGAGGCGGCGCTCGAGGACGCGCAGGACCAGGTGGCGGCGCTCGAGGACGAGGCCGCGCAGCTGGCAGCCGAGCAGGCGCGGCTTGAGGCGGCCCTCGAGGACGCTCGCGCCGAGGCGGCCGCGGCGCACGGCGCCGCTGCGGCTGCGGCGGAGCGCGCGCGCGCCGAGGG